TTCCTTACCTTGCAAATTTATAATTGCATTTGATATCTCATTACTAGTAGTACTTAAGATAACGCTAACCTTCTCTTCTGTATTATAAATTTGTCTGTAGAGCTGGGGTGGTACATGTCACCCCTTTATAGGTGTACTGGCTTCATTTACCCTCCCCGAAAAATCCTCTGCTAATGACCCAGCCCCTTCCTCCCCTTACCCTCTCCCCCAGGCCCAGTTCCCTCTGGTAACCAGTACATTTTTCATGGTGTCTAAGAATTATTTTTGCTGTGTTTTGCCAGTTTGTTTTCTTTGCTTATTTGTAGTCCACAAATAGGTGAAACCATCCAGTATCTGTCTTTTACTTTCTGACTTACTTCACTTAATATAATCAGCTCAAGATCTGTCCATTTTGTCCCAAAAGACACTGTTTCATCTTCCTTCTCCGTGAATTTGATTGAAGTTAGTGATAGGGGGCAGTCTTGCTAGTGTCGAGGACTAGGATTTGAGTGTCATCACTTCAGGAGGGTGGAATGAAAGGAGGGGAAGGGATGGGGGACAAAGACAGAGTAGAGATTCGTTTCTATATAAATTCCAATTTTTTGCTGTCACTTAAGGGCCTTGGGGTCTTGCACACTGTAGAGCTTTTTAAAGACCTTGGACACAAATTGATAGACTTCTTCCCTTTTCCCATGTTCATTTGCAGATGATTGAGACTGATGAGGACTTTAACCCCATTCCTGAAGGATACGACTATTTGGTTGACTTTCTGGATTTATCTTTCCCAAAAAAAAGACCAAGCCGAGACCATCCCTATGAGGAAGTAAGTGACAGCACAGTGGATGTGCTCCTCCCCCTGCTCGTCCTCCTGCGTTCCCCTCCCTTCTTTCCCTGCCTCTCCCTGTCCTCTTTACCCTCCTTCCCTCTCCTTGTCTTCCCCCTCCTCCTGCCTTCCCATCCTTACTTCCTTTCATTTTAAATAAACTTTCTATCTTAGAATAACTTCATATTTACAAATAAATCGCAAGGAGAGGACAGAGAATGTAGTTAACATCTTTTGTCACTATGGCACCTTTGTCACAATGAGCCAGTGTTGAAACCTAAATCTTAACCAAAGTCCATACGGGCTGCTTTTTCAGTCATTTGCAAAAATTGGCTTCTTTTCCTGCTTACTTCTAAACAGATGCCCCTCCACAGCTGTTACTAGAACAAGCATTGACCTCTGCCCTCCTGTCGTTTCTCTCCATGCAGTCTCTTCCCAGGCGAATTCCAGGTGACTCTGTAAAGGGAGTTTAGTCAACATAAAGCGAGCTTGTTTCCACTTTAGCAGTATTTTTGTGCAAGTCCAATAATATAATATATGTGAGCATTGCATGGTAATTTTCAAATCTCTACGAATGTGTGAATCATTAAATCTGGACAATATATAGTCAGTCCTTAAACTTATTACATGTATCATATAAATATGTGATGCCAAACTTAGAGACTTAGATGCCTCTTTTGTAATAAATGTATCTTTAAACTACATTTTGCTCATTTGACTTGTATTTTTATGTTCAGAAAAGTACTTGCCATTGTAAAGAATACTATGCTGCAACTTCAGCAAGACCAATAATTCACTACCTACTTTATGGGTTTAAATAAACTGTATTTTCACATAGTCCCTATGTGAAGCATCAATTTGAAGTGAAATGGAGCTGTTAAATGTATTACTTTATTTAACAAACACTGACATAGTTTGTTGTGAGCCAGATGCAATTTTAAAATACTTTATAAATATCATTATGTCACTTAATCAGAGGTAACTGTTAAGGTGGAGAAAATTCTCTACCAGTAGATTAAATGAGGTGCCCAAGGTCGTGTAGCCAGTAAATTGTGGTGCAGGGGGTGAACCTCAAGTAGTCTGGCCCCAAAGTCTGTATTTTCCCACTGTTGTTGTTTTAAGTCTGAACTTACAAAAACTATAAAATGAGCTATCTGTTAGCCTTAAAGGAGATTCATCTTTGGAATTCTTAAAATAACAGTTTAAACCATTCAATTGAAAACATCACTTTTTCACAACTTTTCAGAAAATAAACCATGGGGTGCCTCATCACACGCACCTGGACATGAGGGTCTGTGAAGTGGCTCTCAGAGCTGTACTCTCCCAGGATTTAGTGAGATTTCCGTATGTGGAGTTTGCTTACAGCGCCATGCCTGTCCTGAGAAGAGAAGCATATCTTCTTGCCCCCTGTAGCCTACTCCTGTTGCCTTTTTTTTTTTTTTTTTGCATTATTAATTGCCTTTCAAACTCATAAGTAATTTTTCTATCTTAAGATAGAAAATAAAAAGACTTTATGTCTTTCCTAGGGTTCTGGTAGCTCTCCACCTTCCTGATCCAATCTGGATGGGCTCCTCTAGCTCTGCTGCAGATCTGTTACCATGAGTCATCTCTTCCAGACCCACCCCGTGTCTTCACCTTCTTGCCTTTACTCTTCTGTGGGACTTTCTGCTTAACTCATTGCCAAAGAAAGGGTGCACTGAACAAAGCTTTTAAGCACTTTCCTATCTCATGTCACTTGAAGGTTTTCTAGAGACACCTGAAGGCATTGCTCCTTTGGTTCTAGTTGCATGCAGCTTTGCTTACTCCAGGCTGATTTCTCTTTCTTTGTAGGTGACTTAGAATGTTTATTTAAAAAAAAAAAAAAAAAAAAAAAAGGTTTTTCAAGCTGATTGAGGAGTCTCTGCACCTGTGAAGAATTTTTTATCCACTAGGTTTTACTAGAAAACAGGGCTCACACAAACTAGGTCAATTCTTGTAACTAGGTGAGCTGTATTGCATGGAAAGTAAATGCCAAGTTGATATCATCAGTAATGAAACACATTTCCAGTTTTCTAATTCAAAGAAAAAGGAATAAAATTCTTCTTTAAATTATACAAATAAATTTATGCAAATAAATAAATTCATGATTAATACAAATTATTACTGTTTTTCCATATTATTATATCATGGACAGAAAAAATGCAAACACAATTTAGCTCTGCTCACAAAGTGCAATTTAACATTGTTGCAGTCATGGTCAGCTAAAATGAAATGTTTTCCTTGAATTCAAAAAAACGCACAAAAGAGTATCATTTCAAAAAGAACACCTTAAAATTATGTTAATCTCCAATAGTGCATTTAAAGCAGGAAGTTGCTCAGTCTGCTGCTTGGACTCTGCTGCTTGGATCAGAAAGTTCCTGCAGTGTGCTGCTTGCTCACGGTAGTGGCTATGGCTACTACTTCCTGAACAATAAAACTGACCCCCTTCCTGAACAATAAAGAATGCTTATGTGATGAATGGGGTGACACGTTTCCTCATAAAAACTGTGTAAAACCTTACGGAGCTCAGATTTTTAGGACCTATCCCACTGAGCCCACTGGTGTGACAATTAAATCTCTCTCTCCACCTCTCTGCATGCCATCTGATTTCTCTGGGAAATTGCCATAACATTTTTGGTTCCCTGACCGGGAATCCAGCCACAGTGGCCACTTTGGCCACCAGTCTGGTGTTGGGGCTGTGCCTAGTGATTCTCCCTTGAGTGAACGAGGTGGTGCACCAGCCGCACCTCATCAGGTCCTCCTTCCTGAGGTGAGCAGAGCTGGGGCAGCACCTTTATACCTTACCCGGACTCACAGAGAGAGGTGGAAAGACAGACCCCATCAGGACTTCTGGATAAGGTAAGGCCCTGGGCCCTGGTTCTAGTTTAGTTCATCTCAACAGACAGGAGAGCCTGATAACCTCTCATGCCCCCTTGCAGGGCCAGGTAGAGTTTCCTGATGGGTGGAATGCATAACTTCTGTTTGTGTGTGTGTGTGTGTGTGCACGTGTAATGGTCCCACGGTTATGGGATCTGACTGGTCTTGTTCTGCGGTTCCGTGACATCATAAGGCCTGTCGGTGACCTTTTTCGAAGGCTCCGGCCCAGGGCTTCTATGGGCTCACCACAAGCTAAGATGCGTCTGAAAATCCCGCAAGGGATGCAGCCAGACAAGAATGTGATTGTTCCCCCCTCCCGTTTTGTCACAGCATCGAACACAATGGAAGTGATTCAAAAAGAAACTCCATTGGGGTAGCCCTCACAGCCGAACTCTGGGTCCTCATCCGCACCTTTCAACTGGCAAAAGACCTCTCAGTTATAGATTCTCGCTGTGTGTTTACCACCATGCACGTGCATGGGACATTTTAGATGCAAGAGGGAAAGAGCTAAAGTCCTTCACTTGCTAGAAAGCAGCCTTGTGTCCAGCCAAAGTGCAGTCATTCACTGCCAGGGACATCAAACAGGAAAACTTCCTGCAGCGTGCTGCTTGCCTGCAGAAGTAGCTATGGCTACCTCGACCCCCGCCCCCTTCCCAGACAATAAAGATTGCTTATGCTATGACGATGGGGTGACAAGTTTCCTCATACAAACTGTATAAAACCTTAATCTTCCTGCAGTTTGGAGCTCAGACTTTTGGGAACTAGCCCACTGAGCCCGCAGGTATGACAATTAAATCTCTCTCCACCCCTCTGCGTGCCATCTGATTTCTCTGGGAAATTGCTGTAACACATTCAGTCCTATGTAGAAAATTCTTGAGTTCCATCAGTTAGCATGAGTCAAGAGCTATATGTGTATTTCCAGATTACTATACTAGGTTTGGCTCCCTCCCTCCTTCCCTGTCCCCTACCAGTTCCGGATGCCATCCATACCTTAGACTTTGAAAGGAGGAAAAAAATTCGGTGAGAGCACTATAAAGGGAGGCACTTACTCATCATCTCAGGGATTCCAGTATTCATCTGGCAACAGAAACTGAAAGAGCAAAACAGAAACTTAACAACAGAAACTCAAAAATCCAAGTACAAATCAAGTTCCCCAAACCAAGGAAAGATGACAGCAGAGGGATCGAAACCTGGTGTCACTGCCTCATGCAAAAACATGTAAGAGGCTGCCGGTTACCTTGGAGCTTCCAGACTGCATTGTCGGTGCTCCCAGAGGGCTTTAATCATCAAAGAGAGTGTTTCCCAAATGAGACCTTCCTTAGTAGGAAACCAGAACCTTGTCATTCACAAGCATCAAACAACTCCAGAAATTCAAATGACAAACGTGCCCCAAACAAATAGTGTAGACAAAAACTCTCAGCAGCAATCCCTTTCAAAGGGGATAAGAGCTCTTTAAATTTTCTGATCCAAACCTTACAAAATCCATTCACTCCAAAACTCCATGAGGGCTACACTCATAATCAACAGTTATTTCTCAATCATGAGGCTTCATTTGGCTTAGTTGGTCTTAACCCCCCAGGTAAGAATTTTCTAATTAGAGCAATTAATGAACCATTGTTGGCCACATCCTGAGTTGTGAAAACAACCTGATGATCTTCAGACCTACAAGCCAGCAGATATCAGGAAATGGTCACAAATAAAAGCCCAGAGTCACAGAATTTAACATATGCTAACAAAGAATCACACAAACTGAAAAGCAAAAATCTCAGGAGATCAAAAGGAAAGAATCAAGCTTCTGAGTTCCAGACATCATTATAGAAACCTTAGATCTCAGATGGAAAAGAGAGAGGTTCCTTTACCACAGACCTCAGATGGACATGATCTTGAACCTTGAAAGCCTAGAAGGTTGCCATGTGGTTTCAAACATCATCTTGAGAGTCCATAGAAAGCAAAGAAACAAAACTGCTTACTTCCATGCAGAAAGATACCCATAAAATAAAACCTCTGAATTAGTGACTGGAAATGAATTGCACACATATACATAAAGTCTCCATAAGTCAAAGCCAGTTTTTCTAATCTAAGAATATCTGAAACAAAGAGATTCACAAACACACTAAACAAAAACCATGTTTGCTCTTAGGGTAGTCAGTGCTGTGGGGAAGCTTCCCTATAGGGCTCCTTGGATGGCTTTTTCCAAGTCAGGAAACCAAATTTGTAACTGCACAACCCACGGGGTCTGAGAGACCCCAAATTGTAAAGGGTAAAGCCTGTTTTGCATATTCTGAGGGTCCAGCTATCTGTATACACAAAAGCAAAGAAAGCAGATACTTTGTATGCACAAGAATATCTTTAATCAATGGGAAAATTCAAAGGCTATAGAGAGAAGAAAGGATTTCAAATAACCAATTTATGATCAAACTCCAAAATTACCCATCCCCTATGGGCAAATGCCCAGCCAAATAGGCTCAGCCCAAAGTGGCACAGTGGAGGCCCAAAAACTGGCCACAAGTGTAAGATACTTTCTGTTGGGGAACCCCAAGAGGGGGTTGGCAAGTCCTAGAGAACTGGGAAGAGATACCCAAAATTCAAAATGTATCATATATCCACCATGATATATGATAACACATATATCACATGATAACACATGCCATTGTCTCTGCTAAATGGCTAAAGTCCCAGGAGCAGCCTCTCCACATGTGTCCCTCATGTGTCCTGCCAAGTGTCTCTACTTCAAGTGTCTCCCTCCTCCTTTGTGCCACCTCAAGTTATGTATCTACCTTGCTCCTTCCCAGCTGCCCCCATTCCAGAAGTCTGGTTCATGGTGCACTGGGAATTGTAATCCAAGGTTGGGGAAATGGTGTCTCTTCAGTGTGCTGAGGTTCTGCTCCCCCTTTCATAGAGATGCAGTTGTACCCAATCCAGCAGTCTGTCTCTGTTCTCAGCTACTGTGTGCCCTCAGCTCCCGAGTCATTTCCTGTTTTCCTTCCTCGGTTTCTGCTGAATTCAGGGCTTTGATAACTACTCCATTGTACTTTCCTCTATGACCCCCTAGCCTCCCTGCCATCACAGGCATCTTCTTCTCCCAGGGACATGAAGGTTGATACTCTGCTGGCTGGGTCGGCTCTGCTAGTTGTTGCTTATCTGTTTCAGATTCGGAGCCGGGTTGATGTCATCAGGCACGTGGTGAAGAACGGTCTCCTCTGGGATGATCTGTATATAGGATTCCAAACCAGGCTGCAGCGGGATCCTGACATATACCATCATCTGTAAGTCTGATGTCAGGGTGCAAAGGAAATCATCCTGTATATCCCTCTGGGCTCATGTAGGCTGGCAAATAATGAGCAAACATCAGACAAGTTGATAAGAGAAAAAAATCAAAAAGAAGCTTAATAATGTACATACCACATATACATGGGAGAGACCCCAGCATGACCAAGTAGCTTACTCATGTGGCCTCAGATGCCATTCTTAAATAGCTATTTAAGAGGAGCTTGGGGGAAAAAAAGAGGTCATTTAGGGAGTTTATTGAGAAAGGTACATTAGACAAAGCTATGCAGATTAATTTTGCCTTCTCCACTGAAAGCTCAAGTCTTCCCTGAAGATTAAGGGAGACACCCTTGAGGAAGAGAGGTTTTGGTTTGATTTTTTAATACATGTACATGTCTTTCACAGATGCTCTGCCTCCACCCAGCCTTCAGAGCCCCTCCCATGAAATAAATCTGAAATCTGAAATCATGAAATATGCCAAACAGATATATTTTTGAGATGGCAGATTTCTGCTTCCCCACATGGAAAACCCCTATCATACCTTAGGCCCCTAAATTGACTGCATGGATATATAAGTAGATTCAGTGACCAATTATGCCCCAAATCCTGAGGGATATGTGAGATTCCACCATTAGTGTTTCATTCCTTTGCTAGCACACTGAAAAATAAATTTGGTTAGGAAGTAATATTTTAAAGAGTCATCATTTGTGCATCCCTTCTGTAAGTGATTTTTGGAATAGAAAAGGAAAGGACATTGAGAAATGGGAAAAGCGTGTTTGCCAAGGCAAGAAAGAAGAGGGCTGGCAAGATGTCTTTGTGGAACACAGTCATTTCCCATGCAGTATTTTTGCCTGTGTCTGCTCTGAGCTTGAATTTGGTGGGAATCAATTTGTTTAATGAGAATCACTCACTGAATTCCTGCCTGTCTGCCCTTTAAAATCATGTGAATCTCTTCTTGCAAAACTGTATACATCTTTACGATTGTATTACGATACATATTCATATTTACAAAATAATCAGCATGAGGGAGAGGACTTCCCTGTCGCTATCACTGATTCTGCAACAATCAGATTTTTAAATCAGCAAACCTCTACCTCAAGCTTGCAAGTACAGACATGATTTATGATTTCTTTTTTTATTTATTTCTTTTTGAATATTTTTAAATCATCAAAAAATTTAAAGAATGGAGAAGTATATAAAATAAAAAGTAAACAACCCCCCAGTGTTCCCTTAAAAGCCTGTCTGTTTCCTGCCTCTCCCTCCACTCACTCTCCAGGATAACCCTTAATAACAACTCAGTGTGTATCATCCAAGGCCTGTTTCTGGGTATATCCACATTTCTCTAAATACAGTTGTTCTCAGAAAAATGTCCCATATTGTTGGGGGAAGGTGCTAGAGGTGGTTATTGCTGCTGTTTTTTAATGTAATCCTGAAGTTTATGTTCTGTAACTTGCATTTTTCACTCATCAATCTATCTCTGGCATCCCGCCAGGTTGGGATATTAGGTCAGCCTTAAACAGTATGTATTAATTTTGCAGTTTAAAAAAGTTTTTTTGTGTTTTTTTTTTTTTTTTACTGAATTAGCATTGTATTATAACATTATGTAAGTTTCAGGTGTTCACTGTTGAGAATCAGCATGTGCACTGCCTGCGTTGGGTCACTGCTGAAAGTCCACCCTGTCCCTCATCACACTATTGTCCCTTTCTCCCCAGTATACCCTCCCCGTGCCTCCTTCCCCCCTCTAACCACAAATTTTCAGCCTCAAACACGTTAACAACTATGGAAGAGTCCACCTCCTTTCCATTTTCAACAAAGCACATACTTTCTTGTTCTGGAAAAAAAAAGGAATGTAGCAACTTTGGGGACAGCTCTAGAGATTGTCTTAAAAAAAAAATAGTTTCCATCTTGGAAATTTTTAGGATATGGATATTACATACTATTTTATTGTATTGTTTTGATAACAAAGGTCGTTTTGTGGGGGATGCCATAATGAGTCTTGGGGAGAACTCATGGCCCAGTGTATGTTTATTGCTCTTGGAATAGGATTTATGAATTTATTAAACATTTCTGGTTAAAAAATAACATTTCTACTATAGGAAATTCTAAAATACAAAGAAACAAACAAACCCAAAAAACAAAACCAACACAACTAATCTCACCACCCAAAGAGAGCAATTTATATTTTGGCATCTACTTAATCTTTATCTTTCTATTTGCAAACACACACAAATGCACTTTTTTATAAAAATAGGGGAATACTGCACATACTTTTGTACTTGTTTACTGAACAATCATCAACCCACCTTTCCATTGTTTCTAACTTTTCACCATTTGAAACAATGATTTGGTAAATAAACACTGGGTGTGTTTTGTGCATTTTCACAGTAATGTCCTCAGGATGAGTCCAGAGGAAGGGAGTTGCTGGACCCTACAGCACACAAGGTGTTGGCCTTCAGTGCACTTTGCAAACCTATCTTGAGGAGACCAGTTTCACCTTCCCAGAAGTAACAGGAGAGCAGGACCCTCTTTACCCCCACCTTTATCAGGACCTAATGATCTTGTGCACAGAATCTACATCTACATCTTCAAACATGAGAATGCCTTAAAATAAGGCACATCACAGTAAAGTAAAAATAAGACACAGTTGTCCTGTTTTAAGGGACTGTATTCAGCACTAAGTGAACAGCTGAAACAGCACAGAAACAACTTCTTAAGGAGAGCTGAGGACCAGGTACCAAACAAGGGGCATGGAAGTTTCCCAAACATATTTCTCTGCCTTATCTCTCTTACAGGTTTTGGAATCATTTTCAAATAAAACTCCCCCTAACACCACCCAACTGGAAATCCTTCCTGATGCGCTGCAATAGCTCAGAACTGAATTTTCCAGGTAAAGCATTCTGCAGATGTGGGAGTCACTACACCCCATCATATTCTCTTTGGCATCTAAATTAAGCAGGTGCCTGTGCCTGTCAGAAAACCTAATTTAGAGGGGAATGATAGAGGTTAACAATACAAGAACATTCGAGTTTAAAAATAAGTAAAGTGAGTGAGGAGTACCTCCAGCCCAAAGTTCATAGAATGGTTGATCTGGTTGAGGTGAACACACAGCCACTGAATAAACAAAATAAAAATTATTCCAGGTGGTCAGTATGCTGAGCTAAATCCTAAACACATGAAAAGAAAAAAAAAAAAACAGCAACAAAAGCTGAAGGGAGAAAAACTAAAAGCAGAGAGAGATGGGGAGTATCACCTCTCCATTCCAACAGGCTCATTTTTAGACTGATTCGTTTGGCACACATGAGCTTTGCCATTCCTTCCTGGCACTCAGGGTGTGCCTCTGTTTAGTGAATTCCCAAACCTGTTTCCACACACTTGTTATTGAAAGCTTACATGCTATTACTGCAAAGATAGTAAATTCCCTGACTTACACATTTATATAATCGTTTATTCCACATACAGCTGTCCCGTCACATTGTAATATAGTAACTTATTGTCTCTTCCAGTCAGTAAGCTCTGAAATTTTTTAAAAATTGACACTCTTGCCCATGTGCCCCTAGTGCTTATCAAAATGCCCAGTGTACAATTTTATTCATAATAGGCATTCAAGGAAGGAGGAATAAGTGAATTTCTGTCTCTTCTGTCTCCTCTGTCAGTGTGCTTACCTCCTAACCAGACTCCCTTGTCCTTACCTCTAAAATCAGGGATCTACATAGAACTTTTTCAGTCATGAAGTACTTTGCCCCGTACTATCGTCTAGCACCAGGCTTTGCACTATATATTCTAAGTTTTTTTTCCTAAGTTTATTTTTTAAAGATTTATTTATTTATACAAGAACCGGGGTACAGGCCAGATGCACAGGAGGGTGAGAGGATTCACCAGAGACAGAGTGGGGGAGCAGAACAGGCAGACTGACACAATGTACTGCTGAGGGGTGCAGTGGGGGAGACAGGAGAGGTCTGCCACACGATGTGGGATTCTCGCCGGCTGGCTGGGATCAAACCTGTGCTGCAGAGGCTGCGGACAGCTTCACAGTGCAGCACTCAACCGTCTACGCCACCAGGGAGGCCCTGTATTCTAGGTTTTGATTATAGGCTGGATGGGATGCTGAGGGAATTCACAGACAACTATATGATAAGACAGACATGATAAACACTGTATTTTCTGTACAAAATAAGTGTTGGGAATACTCAGGAGAGAGAGATTGCCTCTGGTTTTCTGAGGTGACCAGTATGGAAGGCAATGGGAAGGAGGCAGTATTGGGAGAGTGACTCGAAGATTGGGTAAAGTTTTTGAGAATCTTAAATGCAGGGAGGAATGGTAGAAAGAACATTAAAGACCAAAAGAGTGGGTGATGGTGACGATAAAGGTAGAAAAATGCTAGGTGAGTGAGAACAGTAAGAATATTGGCAAGTTCTTTTGCTGTGACACAGGGGAAGCCTGAGTAGGAAAATAAAGAGCCAGAGAGCTCGTTGGAGATATGAGCAGCCTAATAGTTGTAAAAAGTTCAGTTGTGAGGGCCTCCCCAGGTGGCGCAGCAGTTAAGCGCCTGGCTACGAAGCTGCCCACAGCCTCTGCAGCGCCAGTTCGATCCCTGGCCTCCGGCAAGGGTCCCACAAGGCGCACAGACCTCTGCTGCCGACCGCTGCTCCCCTCAGCAGTGTACTTTGTCAGTCTGCCTGTTCTGCTCCCTGCTCTGGCTCTGGTGAATTCTCTCACCCTCCTGTGCTTCTGACTGTACCCAGTGCTTGTATAAATAAAATGAATAAATCATTAAAAAAAAAAGAAATTAAAAAAAAAAAGTTCAGTTGTGAAAAAAAGGGAAGGAGGCAGTGGATTGAGAGCTCAGAATCCAAGCTCTTGGAATGGGACAGTTCTGAAGGTGTGTCGAATGTGCTTATGTATATAAGTGGGTGAGTGAAATAGGGAAGATGAAGGTAATAGGAGTCAGGAGGTTGAGTTATCATTTTGAGGCTGCTTGTGCAAGAAGGCAGTAAAGTATGGTGGCCAGACCTCCGACTTGGAACCTAACTTTTTGAGTTAAACCTTATCTGCCATCTACCATAGGATCTTGGACAAATTACTGAACCATACTATAGCTCAGATTTTCATCTGAGTGAAAAGAATACTGTATTATTATATATAATATATAGCATATACATCCATATTTTCACATGAGTATTCTGCATTATAATTATATATTATGTATATAATATAGATGAATGAATATAGTAATAGCACTTACCTCACAGGATTATGTGCTTTGTATAGGGCACTTCTGGAAGAGTGAGGGGTACATGGTAAGTGAACAATAAATGGTAACTATGTCACCCTTATAGGTAAGCAGGGGAGTCATGTGACCTATGGTTAGTCATTTGGTGAATCTGTAAAAAGATGGGAGAAGAGTCGCATTCAATTTCATATTCTAGTTTTAGACTCTCACTTAAAGTATCATAGACCATGTAGCTTGAACTAAAGAATAAGACTTCACCCCAGTGCTATGAAAAATTAAAAAGTATTAACATGAGATTTATACTATAATTCATGAGTAATATCTTTATTCACAGAGATGCTAAGAAATATGAAAAATACAAAAATTTAAAATGGAGCTACCATACGACCGGCAATTCCACTCCTAGGGATCTACCCAGAGGACACAAATACACTGATTCAAAACAACACCTGTACACCTATGTTTATTGCAGCACTATTTACAATAGGTAAAACCTGGAAACAACCCAAATGCCCAAAAATAGATGACTGGATCAAGAAGATGTGGCATATATACACAATGGAATATTATTCAGCAATCAAAAAAGATAAACTTAGGCCATTTGCAGTAACATCAGTGGAGCTAGAAGAAATTATGCTCAATGAAATAAGCCAGAAGGAAAAAGAAGACTGTCAGATGGTTTCACTTATAAAGGAATATAGGAGAACCAAATAAGACATCAGTGTAAAAAAATAATAACAGTACAAAACACTACAAAGCAAAAACAGATAATTATAAATCAGAGACATACTGCTGGAGAGGAGGCAGGAGAGGAACCAGACGGAGGGAGGGAGGAGAACAGGAGACTATGGTGATAGTGCACAGGTGCCTTGGGGAAGGAAATTCTATAGGGACTCAATCTGAAGGGGTGGGGGGAAACAAATATTGTTTAAAAAAAAAATTAAAAAAAGATGACATTAATAAAATAATTTGAAATGCTAAAAAAAATTCAAGAATTTAATAATGTTGCATCTTGACCCAAGAAGCTTTTCCCAAAGAGACCTTACTTTTTTGACATCAGTAATAATTATATGCTTCATTTGTGATGAGATGTTCCCAATTCTTCTGTTTATAGATCACTGTTTGGCCAGATTATTAGCTATTTTGTTTATTCCACGGATAATTCTGTGTAAGCATAATGTTCCAATAGGAACAAATTTTCTATGGAAAATGTGACTTGAAGCATAGAAGAAATAGAAATAGAAAAGCTCTCCTATAAGACAATTAGGAAAAAGAAAAGGGATGGAGGAGCAGAAGTTGTCTTAGAAGGAGGGAAGAAAGTAGAGAAATAAATGAGGAACCATAAAAAGAAAATAGGAAAGAATGACATCCCCTGCTTGTGGATTGGAAGAATTAACGTTATTAAAATGGCCATCCTACCAAAAGCAATTTACAGATTCAACACTATTCCAGTAAAAATCTCAATGACATTCTTCAATAGAAATAGAACAGATACTGATGAAATTCATATGGAACCACAAAAACCACAAATAACCAAAGCCCTACTGATTAAAACAGTACTTCAAACTGTAGTACAAACTTTAAACTATACTACAAAGCCATAGTAATTTAAAAAAAAGTATGGTATTGGAACAAAAAACTGACACACAGACCAATGGAACCAAATAGAAAGCCCAGAAACAAATCCACACATATATGGACAACTAATCTTTGACAAAGGAACAAAGAATATACAATGGAACAAGCACAGTTTGTGCAATAAATGGTGCTGGGAGAACTGGACCACCACATGCCAAAAAATGAAACTAGACCACTACCTCTCACCATGCACAAAAATCAACTCAAACTGGATAAAAGATATGGACATATGACCTGAAACCACAAAATATATATAAGAAAATATAGGTAAAACACTACAAGACATACATCTCAGTAACATCTTTAAAGACACATCACCCAAAGCAAAGAAAGTTAGGGAAGAGATAAACACCTGGGATTACATCAAACTGAAAAGCTTCTGTACACCAAAAGAGACATTAACCAAAACAAAGAGACACCCTACTGATTGGGGAAAATGTTGGTACTCCATACAACTGATAAGGGACTGATCACAAAGATATTCAGAGAACTCAAATGACTCAACAAGAACAAAGTCAACAATCCAGTCAAGAAATGGGCAGAAGAACTTAAAAGACACTTCTCCAAAAAGAAAATGCAAATGGCCAACAGGATTATGAAAAAAATGTTCAATATCCCTTATAATCAGGGAAATGCAAATCAAAACCACAGTGAGATACCACCTTACACCAGTAAGAATGGCACATATCAAAACACTAGCAGCAACAAATGTTGGTGAGGATGTGGTGAAAAAGAACTCTCCTACATTGCTGCTGGGAGTGCAAACTCACTGGTCCAACCACCATTATGGAAAGCTGTCTGGAAGTTCCTCAAACTGCTAAAAATGGAGCTACCATATGACCCAGCAATTCCACTCCTGGGGGTCTACCCAAAGGACACAAAAACATTGATTCAAATGAACACCTGTACCCCTATGTTTATTGCAGCACTATTTACAATAGGTAAAACCTGGAAACAACCCAAATGCCCCAAAATACATTACTGGATCAGGAAGATATGGAATATATACACAATGGAATGCTGAATAATAATTCAGCAATCAAAAAAGATAAACTCATGCCATTTGCAGCAACATGGATGGAGCTAGAAGGAATTATGCTCAGTGAAATAAGTCAGAAGAAAACAGAAATATTGGATGGTTTCACTTATAGCAGGAGTATAGAGGAACCAAATAAGACATCAGTGTAAAAAAATAACAACAGTACAAAACACAACAAAGAAAAAAATGGAAATTATAAACCAGAGACATCCTGCAGTGGGAGAGGAAGGAGAGGAAGCAGAGGGAGGGAGGAGCACAGGGGACTGAGGTGATGGTGCACAGGTGCAGTGGCAAAGGAAACTCTATGAGGACTACACATGAGGCAGGGGCAGTGGGGAGCAAATATTGTTTAAAAATTAACAATGATGTAAAATATATATAAATTTAAAAAATAAAGAAAAGGGGCCTCCCCTGGTGGCGCAGGCGATTGAGCTCAGCGCTGTGAAGCTGTCTGCAGCCTCTGCAGTGCCGGTTCGATCCCGGCTGCCGGTGAGGGTCTACATGGTGCGGCAGACCTCTCCTGTCTCGCCCGCTGCTCCCCTCAGCGGTATATTTCGTCAGTCTGCCTGTTCTGTTCCCCACTCTATCTCTGGTGAATCCTCTCACCCTCACGTGAATCTGGCCTGTACCCCCGTTCTTGTATAAATAAATAAATAAATCTTTAAATATATATATATAGAAAAAATAGGAAAAAGAAAAAATACAATGGAATTTAAACAGGAGAATGTAAAAATACATATTTTGCTCCTTAATAGTAGATTGAGTCCCCAAACAGATTTGATGAAGACAGTTCAGTAAGAAGGGTTCATGAACTATTTTCAATTTTTGAGAAAGCATTGTTGAAACATGTGTTTCCAAGACAAAGCTGCAGCACTGTCCTGAAGGGTGAAATGTCTTCAAGATTAAAATGTTTTGATTCACTGTCAGAATTTGTTATTTAATGAAAATTATAAGTGCCAACACAGTACTGACAGAATTTGTTATGTAATACAAATTACAGATGCTAATATATTAGAGGCCTTTGATTAATAAAAATGATGAACGGGCCTCCCCGGTGGTGTGGTGGGTTGAGCGCTGCACTGTGAAGCTGTCCGTAGCCTCCGAAGTGCTGGTTCAATTCCCTGCTGGCCAGGGAGATTCCCACATGGTGAGGCAGACCCCTCCTGTCACACCTGCTGCTCCCCTCAGCAGTGTATTTCATCAGTCTGCCTGTTCTGTTCCCGACTCTGTCTCTGGTGAATCCTCTTACCCTCCCATGACTCTGGTCTGTACTCCAGCTCTTGTATAAAAAAAAAAAATCTTAAAAGAAAAAATAAAAATGGTGAACATTGGCTATAATAAAATGAATTTTGGTAATGAAAATCATTTAAAACCAATTAAAAAATCATTCATAAAGATCCCTGTATTGAAAAAATTAGGAATTATTCTGTACATTTTAAGCATTGTTTCCAAGATCAAAATAGGCCATTGATTTATTTCTGCTTATGTGCATAATTTGTTATGCTAATCAAATGATTAAGACTGATACATACAATTTAACTGTAGGAAACTCTGACACGTGATCGTCCATGCACGCATACACTTCGCTTATTTAAACATCAATCTGTTTTCTGATAAGCACTATCTCTTTAATTCTGAAGATGCAGGAATCCAATGGTTGAAATGACCTCCTTAAATGCTTAAGTGCAAGCCTAGTAATAGAACTATTAGCCATCTAATTCTCACCAACATCAAAAGTATTTGTTATTTTTGGTTTACTTCACACATTATGCTTAACAAATGCTTATAAATCAATAATTATATATATATATTAAAGATTTATGTATTTATGCATATAGGAGCTGGGGTACAGAGATGTGGGGGGTTGGTGAGAGGATTCACCAGAGACAGAGTGAGGAACAGAACAGGAAGACTGACTGAAATACACTGCTGAGGGGAGCAGCGGGTGAGTCAGGAGAGGTCTGCGGCGCCATGTGGGTTGCTCCCTGGAAGGCTGGTTATTGAACTCATGCTGCAGAGGCTGCAGACTGCTTCATAGTGCGGTGCTTAGCCCCTTGTGCCACCAGGGAGGCCCCAAGAATTATGTATTTCAGTGAATTATCTACTAATCAAAGAAATTAATCTCATTAAATACATGTGAAAATGTATTTTATTTGCAAATAAAAGTTTGTTTTAAAATACGGATTTGTTCTACATTCCTAATGTAGAAGGCCCAAATTAGGGATCAGAAAAAAAACTAAATATAATAAAGTAAAAATCAAAATCGACAGGCAACTATAAACCAGAGACATACTACAGTGGGGGGACAAGGGAGTAGGATCAAAACAAGGGTGATGGGGATTTTACGGGGACTATAATCAAGATGAAAATATATACATTGCACAAAAATGAAAAATGATATAAAAAATATATACAATAAAAATGAAATTAAAAAAATGGATTTGTTTTCTCATGCTCCTGTAATTAGTATCTCCTTCTGATATCCAGACTCAACAATTCTTTGCTAAGACCACCAATCTTTTGGTATATCTTCACTTCTTCCTCCTCTTGGAAGGTTCTTTTCTACCTGTGTATATTCCCATATCACCTGCCCACCCTCGTCTCATGTTCATTTCCCTTACTCAAACTAAAAACTATGAAATGGGGCCTCCCGGTGGCGCAGCGGTTGAGCGCTGGGTTGCGAAGCTGCCTGCAGCCTCTGCAGCCGGTTCGATCCCCGGTTGCTCCCTGGCCACCGGAGGAGGGTCCCACATGGCGCGCAGACCTCTCCTGCCGCCCGCTGCTCCCTCAGCAGTGTACTTCGTCCTTCTGCCTGCTCTGCTCCCCGCTCTGGCTCTGGTGAATTCTCTCACCCTCCCGCGCTTCTGACTGTACCCAGTGCATGTATAAACCAAACAAATAATAAATAAATAAATAAGACATGCCTCTAGAAAATTAAAAAAAAAAAATAAAAAAAAAAAAAAAAAAAAAAAATAAAAACTATGAAATGACCCTTTCTACTTTGCACCAACATCAACTCCATCAGCAAATCCCATCATCTCTGCCTTCAAAGTAGACCAATGTCTGACCATGTCCACCGCTCTCAGGACCTGGAGGAGACCCAAGAAGGCAATCTTGGCGTGAGGGAGTGTTTTCCTACTGCCATCAACAGCAATCTGCCAGTTCCAAAAAAAGGCTGAAGGGCTAAATGCCTTGAAATTTAAAGACATTCAAGGGTGGGAGGGGGGTGTTGGGGGGAGGGAGGAGATCTGGAAAAGCCATTCACTGGGATGTGGCTCTGGGCTACTCAATCCTACCGTGAAGCTACTTAGGGGGTATCAGGGGAGCGGCAGGCTGCTGGGCATTCTGGTTCTCTCTTTTTTTTTTTTTTAAAGATTTATTTATTTATGCATACAAGAACTGGGGTAAAGGCCAGAGGCGCGCGGTGGGTGGGAGGATCCACCAGAGACAGAGTGGGGAGCAGAACAGGCAGATTGACCAAAATACACTGCTGAGGGGAGCACGGGGCGAGACAGGAGAGGTCTGCAGTGCCATGTAGGTTGCTCCCTTGCCGGGGATCGAACTTGTGCTGCAGTGGCTGTGGATTGATTCATAGGTTGTGTCTTAACCCCTTGCACCACAAGGGGGGCCCACATTCTGGTTCTCTTGCACTGCAGTTCAGGAACCCAGCTCTGGAGAAAGTAAGATAAGGGAGCCAATAAGGAAACCACTTCCTCTTCTATTGCCTCTCTAGTGTCATCTGCAGAAAAAACCTCATGCTTGTTGGCAAAGCAGAAATATTTCTTTTTGCACAGCTGGCACACAAGAGTGGATTGAATCTGAGAGGCAGTACATTGATGACTGACACACATGCGTGATAAGAATGTATGTTATAGTCTCTAGGGCAACCACTTAAATAGTAAACAAATGTGTAATCACAAAAAGAGGGGAAAATGGAAATAATTTAAAATATTAGTCTGTGAAAGAAACCAATGAAAGATAAAACATAACAGAACAAATGGGACAAATGTTGTGGGGAGATCAGGGTGAGGCCAGATGTGCGGGGGTCAAAGAATTCACCAGAGACAGAGTGGCAAACAGAAAAGGGAGATTTATTAAAATACATTATACACTTATCATTAATAAATACATACATGAAATACAAATTAGAATTGCTAAGAAGCACAGCAGGGAGACATGAGAGGTCTGCCCCCTAAGGGGGTTCTGAGGCTCTCTATTATACTGTTTTCTCTGGCTTTCTAACTTGGGGTGGCAGTTTGCACCGGCTATCAGCTGGGACGTCTGGTCTCTAGCACTGGCCTTTGACGCAGAACTTGTCCTGGCCTCTGCCTCTGCACCCCAGAAGCTGGGGCTGGCTTTTCTGGTCATGGTGGTCACTTTTATGACCTTGTCCCCAAGGCAGCATTATTCATTCCCTTATCTATCCCAGATTCCCAAACTTGCCTGCTGGGTCAGGAGTAAGGCTTAATTTTTAACCTTATTCAACTATACAACAGCAAATAGAAAGCAAACCCCAAGATGGCAGATTATATCAATAACTGCTTTAAATGTAAATGTTCTTATTAAAGGGCAGGCTGGGGCCTCCCTGGTGGCGCAAGGGATAAGCACAGCACTGTGAAGCGGTCCGTAGCCTCTGCAGCACGAGTTGGATCCCTAGCCGGCCAGGGAGAAACCCACATAGTGCAGCAGACCTCTCCTGGCTCGCCTGCTGCTCCCCTCAGCAGTGTATTCAGTAGTTCTGCCTGTTCTGTTTCCCACTCTGTCTCTCGTGAATCCTCTCACCCCTTGCACCTCTGGCCTGTACCCCAGTTCTTATATGCATAAATAAAGAAATCTTAAAAAAAAATGGGACATTCAAAAGCTAAGTATACAGAAAGCGTGAAAGAAAAAATAGAAAGCACTCCTGTAATGTTATGTAGTTGAGACACTTATTAATGATAATAATGCTTAACAAGAATGAAGTAAAAATTTATTTGTACATAACATTCTCAAAATATGTAAAGAAAGACGTAAGTAAAAGAAGAAATAGGCAAATGCAAATCATTGTGAGATTTGAAAACACCTCATTAAATGACAACCAATAAATATATGAAAAATTCAAACTATATAAAAAAAATGGACATTGACAAGCTCGTCCTGCAACACCCACAGAATATTCGGTCTTCAAGGGCACAGGTCTTCTACATAAAATAATGCTTTACTAAACTATAAAGCAAGTCTCTGAAAATATCACATTTAAATCATCTGTAATATGTTCTCATTAAGGTAAAAATAAGATAATTATAAAATTTCCGTGTGTTTTGAAATTATTTTTAAATTAGTGATTCTCAAAATATTTTTTCCTTGATTGACATATTGGTTTACAAAATTGTAGATCATTTAGGGGAATAGTTTCAACCTCCTCATGTGTATATCACACGCCACCCCCACCATTCAAGCACCCAGGAGTATTGGACCCCTCCCACTTTGGCCCCAACCCCTCTAGTGTCCTGGATTCTGCAGTCATATTTCTATAGGGTTTGTTTTGATTTAGCTCTGTTAGTTCCCTTTTTTCCCTCTATATTCCACGTATCAGTGAAATCATCTGGTATTTTCCTTTTCCCTTGTGACTTATTTCACTTAGCTTCATTCCTTTCTCAATGTTTATTAAGACAAATTAAAGGAGTCCTAAATGAAGATATAGTCATGGACGAGAAGACTCACTATTTTAACAAAGTCAATGCAATCACAATCAAAATCCCAGTAGGTTTTTAAAAATGGAAATCCATACATTAATTCTCAAATATATATGGAAATATGAACATTCAAAAGAAACCAAGGTGCTTTTGAAGAAAAGAGGGTATCCACAGAATGTGGGCAATCTCATATTTTCCTGTGCCAGTGATTTTTTTTTTTTTTTTAAATAATAAATTTTATTTTTATATTCCCCCATACAATTGCAAAAGCCCCATTCTGACCCCATTCCTTCCCTTCCCGCCCCCCACCCCCAAAAAGTGTCTCTGGTTCATAGTTTTTTGTTAATTTTGATTTTCATTTTCTTATATTCATTTTCCTGGTCCCTTATTTAAGTTTTCTAGATTCCTGCTATGAGTGAGACCATCCGGTATTTTTCTTTTTCTTTTTGGCTTATTTCACTGAGCATGATCCCTTCCAGCGCCATCCATGTTGCTGCAAATTGCATGTGTTTATCTTTTTTGAATGCTGAGTAATATTCCATGGTATATATGTACCACATCTTCTTGATCCAGTCATCTGTTTTTGGGCTTTTGGGTTGTTTCCAAAGCTTAGCTATTGTAAACAGTGCTGCTATAAACATAGGGGTGCAGGTGCCCTTTGGAATTGATGTTTCTGTGTCCTTTGGGTAAATACCTAGGAGTGGAATTGCTGGATCATATGGAAGCTCTATCTTTAGTAGGTCGAGGATGCTCCACACAGCTCTCCATAGTGGTTGGACCAGTTTGCACTCCCACCAACAGTGCAGAAGAGTTCCTTTTCTCCATATCCTGGCCAACATTTGTTGTTGCTAGTTTTTTTAATATGTGCCATTCTCACTGGTGTGAGATGGTATCTCATGGTAGTTTTGATTTGCATTTCCCTGATTGCAAGTGATGTTGAACATTTTTTCATATGCCTGGTGGCCATTTGTATTTCCTCTTTGGAGAAGTTTCTTTTTAGCTCTTCTGCCCATTTTTTGACTGGATTATTTTCTTTGTTTTTGTTGAGTCTCATCAGCTCTTTGTAGATTTTTGTGATCAGTCCTTTATCATTAGTGTTGTGTGCAAAAATGTTCTCCCAGTTGGTGGGGTTTCTCTTTGTTTTTGTTATTGTCTCTTTTGCTGTGCAGAAGCTCTTTAATTTGATGTAGTCCCAGCTGTTTATCTTTGCCTTCACTATCACTGCTTTGGGTGATGCGTCTGTAAAGATGTCTTTGAGGTGCATGTCATGTAGTGTTTTGCCTATATTTCCTTCTATGTATTTTATGGTTTCAGGTCTTATGACTCGTTCTTTAATCCATTTTGAGTTGGTTTTTGTGCATGGTGTGAGGTAGTGGTCAAGCTTCATCCTTTTGCATATAGTGACCCAGTTTTCCCAGCACCATTTATTGAACAAACTTTCTTTGCTCCAGTGCATATTCTTTGCTCCTTTGTCAAAGATTAGTTGACCATAGATATGTGGGTTTATTTCTGGGTTTTCTATTCGGTTCCATTGTTCCATGTGTCTGTTCTGGTTCCAATACCATGCAGTTTTGATTATTATGGCTTTGTAGTATAGTTTGAAATCTGGGAGAGTGATGCCTCCTTTTCCTTCTTTTTTTTTTTCAGGAGGGTTTTGGCTATTCGGGGTTTTTGGTGGCTCCATATGAATTTCATCAGTATTTTTTCTAGTTCTTTGAAGAATGACATTGAACTTTTAATTGGAATAGCATTGAATCTGTAAATTGCTTTTGGTAGGATGGCCATTTTGATCATGTTAATTCTTCCAGTCCATGAGCAGGAGATGTCTTTCCATTTCTTTGTGTCTACCTCTATTTCTTTTAACAGTGTTTTATAGTTTTCTTTGTATAGGTCCTTTACTTCTTTTGTTAGGTTTATTCCCAAGTATTTGATTTTTTTTTTGTTTCAATAATAAAAG